GCCCAGGAGAAAGATGCAGCTGAGCATCGTCAGCGGAGCTTCCTACATCAGTGCCAGAGCCATCGTGGATACCGCCAACACCTGAGATTAAAAAAAGTAATCATTACAGATTTAAATCATTACATTCTGAGGCTTTTCAAGAAATGTTGCCAATAATCAGTTTTTTCAATGGCATAAAGCAGAAATGTCCAGCACGTAACCATATTTTTAAACAGCAAAATATTCCAAATTTTCAAGGTGAAAAGACAGAAAATGGTGACTCCTTAAATCTCAACTTGATAAGATGTTCTTCCCAGGGGAACTGAACTTTTGTACTCAATGATAACATGATATATCGGCACTAAAAGCCCAGCTTCATGAGAAGCAGCCGTTGCAAATCAAACATTTTGGAATTCAAGTTAGAGTTTCCCATGTACCCAAAGTTCAGAAAGAAAACCAGTGAGGAAGACCTGGTTTAAATGCAGCCCTGCCTGAGAATAAAGGGCAAAGTGTCTCGTTAAAATCACAAAGAAAGAAACCAAGCTGACAGGTTTTAAATTTGGGTCTGACCACATATGAGCACAGGACATTGGAGAACCTAAACACTAAAAACAGAAAAAATAAAAACCTAAACTGTCAAGTCACGTGACTTCTCAGCTTCTCATGAAGTTAGCTTCTTCAGCACACTAAACAATGAAACACATCCAAGTAAAGGCCGTTAAGCAGCCAGATAAACACCCTATTTTTATTCTCTTTTCAGAGTGTCACATGTTTTGCAAAGCAACACTTTAAAGAGAAACAGAGAAGTGTTGCAAAGGCTTACGGAGTGGAAAAAGCTCTACACAACCACATTTCAGACTGCTGCCAAAGAACAGGCAAATTCAGATTCACTTCTCAGAATGGGGGTAAACCAAATCTCTAGCATTTGACATTAGAGTTCAATTACATCTACATGACATTTGGGGCTGCATTTCAAAAGGTCTCAAATGCCAACTGACAAAACATGTGAAGTATCCTTGCAACAACACAAGGTTACTGACAGCCCTGTGTTTTTAAGACGGCAAGGAAGAGTGTTTCCTTGTCGAATGCTACGCTTCAGAAAAAATAAAAAAAAAAAGCTTTTTCATCTGGTGAAATCTAAATATTCAAAATCCATTACCTGCATAACCATCAGAATGTCTTTCCGACTTCACATGGACACAATTCTCATCCATTCTTTCTAAAAAAGTATTTTTTCCTCCCACAGTGCCATTTATAATTATGTCCCACAACGAAGCCTTTGCAATCATTACCACCCCAACCGTGATCTTGCAGTTGTTTTCTTTTGCTTTGTTCAAACTTATACTTCTCCGGAGTGATTAAAATTTTTAATCTATAAATGCTGATCAACGAAATGTGTTGAAATGTAGAGGATACACCTGCCCCTTCCCCTAAACCACTGAACTCTAAAACCTTTCCAGCAGCTATATCACCCTGCAACTCACACCTGGCAGCCCACTGGAGCTCAGTCTGGTCAGTCCCTGGATGGGAGACTCCTGGGAAAAACTAAGGTTGCTGCCGGAAGTGGTGTTAGTGGGACCAGC